ATTTTCCGCGGGGGCGGGGGTACGCTATTGCTGGTGGAGCAGGGTATGTTCCTGGAGAGCCCACACATGCTCTCACAGATGTTCCTGCACACACGCCCATAAAGGCAGCTAAGTGGATAAAGTGGGTTCAAAACCAAAAGCACACTAAGTAGTTAGAAACGAGCTTTGTATGATTTTTTTTACTCTACCCAGACAAAGAACCCGCAGAAGAACCAAGAGGTGATCTCAGGAAGCCACATCCTCCTCAATGACATTTATTACTATGCATTAGTTAAATTACCTAAAATCAAAAATGATCTCCAAGATAAAAGCCATGACATAATCCTCCATGTGATCTTCTGAAAATTTAATATTTTTTTCATTTTTATATTAGTGCCTTCAATCTATTTGTGATACTGGAACAAGACTGTCAAGGATCCCTCAGGAGGACACCTATAAGATCTAAAACTCTGTATGTTGAGTGAAGTGTCTCAGACCATGATCTCCTTATTTTCTCAGGAACAGAAACCATGAGAAAGCTAGAAGGGTAGTGGATGTCAGGAAAATTGGGCCTTAAGATGTTGGGAGGGCATCTGCCATGTGATGGCATGAGTGGGGGAGAGATGCTGTCTTCCACCCATCAACACATCAGGCAGGTGGGAGAACAGGCCCTGAGGGCATGTGGGCAGGAGAGTTGTCCCTGCCCACTACAGCTGCAACACTAGGAAGAGCAGGCCCTGCACCTCACCTGGGCATCACAATAGAGCCAATCCTGTTGAAAGAGGAGTGGGTGAGCCAGCCCTGACGTTATTAGCATGGGAGAGCCGTCCCCTTACTCACCTGTCATGTGGCCTCATGGACCTGAGAGAGATGTCCCCGACCTGTTCCCCCCCCCCCACCTGCCCATCAACACCTGAGGCAGGTAGGAGAGCTGGCCCTGAGGTCATTAGAGCAGGAGAGATAACTCTGCCCCTTATCTGCTGAAGCACTCCAGAGAGTTGTTCCTATGCCTTGTCTGAGCAACATGGTAGAGCTGGCCCTGAAGGTGTAGGTGTGGGAGAACTGACCCTGAGGACCTGAAAGCAGGAGAACTGGCTTGCTCCTTGCTCATTGCTGCAATGGATGAACCAGCCAGGGCAATTCAGGAGACCTTTCCCTTGTGGTGAGGACAAGGGAGAACTGGTGGGCTGACCAACCCTGCAACTACCCAGGCCCAGAACCAGGGTTATGTGTTGGGCCACCTCAATATCCACTGCATCTGTGATATGTTAGAGCACTTAAAGGGACCAGTCCTGCAGACCCAAAGCTTCAGTATTTCCATAACACAGGGCAAGAGCAGGATAACCCAAGGAGTTCCAATGAGGGGCCAGCATTGACAGTATAGCAGAAACCGGAGGCCTCGAACAACACCAATGACTCTTTGCAACGAACACTTGCAAGTAAAGATATATGGGTAAAAGGGTTTACTGTGTGACTCAATATGTCACACTACAGCTACCATGAGGAGTTTCCCCCCATTTTTCTTTTCTTTTTTCTCTTAAATTTTTATTGGGGGCAGTGCTGAAAAGGCAGGGGACAGATATGCAGGGAAGGGAGATGAATAAGATCAAGATGTATGATGTGAAAAACACAAGTAATAATCAAAAAGAAAGTTAAAAAAGATTTTGGGAGGGTGTGACTAGAACCACAATTACTTAAAAAGTAGGTGGTAAACTAAATACTTATATAGTTAGGCCCAGTATCATCTGTGATGGGAATCACTGACTTGATAAAAAGAAATTTCACATTATTTATCTCTCCCATGACTGCCCCAAATATATATAGCCTATTATTACCTTACAGTGTGGCCAGAATATACTGTCCAAGTAAATTCTTGTGGGAAATTGTGATATAAATAACATCATACTCTCTTTTGCATGAAGACCACAGATACTGACCTGCAAAGCAACACAACAGATAGCCTCTTATAAAGTACTCAAAAGGAAGGCCTTAAAATCTTGAAAACTACTGGACTGTTTTCTGTGGCCAATGAAAGATCAAGATAGGATTCTATATATGAGAGATGCCACAAAAATTTTACTAGCTTTTCTCCTCACCTCTTACCCCGAGTCTTTGCCTCTCCCTAGTACCTTCCACAGAGCACCCTTTACATCTTTGTTCCTCAGGGTATATATCAGAGGATTGAACATGGGGGTAACAATAGTATAAAAAAGGGCAACAAACTTTCCCTTGCTTTCAGAATATCTGTGGACTGGTTGAAGATAGGTATAAATACCTGAGCCATAAAAGAGAGACACCACCATGAGGTGGGACCCACATGTCCCAAAAGCCTTTCTGCGTCCAGCCATTGACTTGACTTTTAGAACAGCCTGAGCAATGTGAGCATAGGAGCCTAGAATCAGAACTGCAGGGCACACTAAGACTATTGTTCGAGCTACAAACATCTTAGCTTCTGTTCCTTTTGTGTCCTCACAGGCCAGTTTCAGAAATATGGGCATTTCACAGAAGTGATTGATTTGATGGCCACAGAGCCTCATGGCCATCACAAGTCCTGTCTGAATAAGAGAGTTCACAAGGCCTCCTATCCAGGAGGAGATGGCCAATGCCCTGCAGAGAAGGGGGTGCATAATGGTGGTATAGTGGAGTGGATTACACACAGCAGCATAGCGGTCGAAGGCCATCGCCACTAAAATCAAACATTCTGTGGAGGCCAGGGCAAGAAATATGTATAGCTGGGCCACACACCCTCCATAGCTGATGGTCCTGTCAAGTCCATGAAGGTTGATCAGGAGCTGGGGCACAGTGCTGGTGGTGTAGCAGAGGTCCAGGAAGGAGAGATTGGAAAGGAAGAAGTACATGGGTTTATGCAGTCGAAGATCCAGTCTTGCAAGAGCGATGATGGCTGTATTGCCAAAGATAGTTAGGGAGTAGAAAATCAAAATAATGACAAAAAGAAAGACCTGTAGTTGAGGCCAATCTGAGAAACCCACCAAAATGAAACTCTCTTGTGAAGTGCTGTTGAAATTTCCCATAGCATTTCACTTGCACAAATACTAAAACTCACCTATGGTTTTCTATAAGGAGTATGCTTTAAAACACTATTATTAGTATTCTACAAATACTCAAAAATAATGCTTGTCATCTAGTTTGCTATTCCATCCCATTGGTCTGGTCTTCTTTCTATTCTGTTTTTCATATAGGAAATCTCTGGATTAAAGTGTTGTGGCCCTTGTTAGAACTTCAATCTTGCTGTCTGAATTTTTCCAGACAACTTAGTCTTTGGATCCAGTGTTTCTTTGTCTGAAGGTAGAAATTCTATATTTCTTCTCTGTCAGCACTGAGATGCAAATTCAAATGCAACAACATGGAAACTGCATTAAAAATCTGATGTTGGCCTTTGATAGCTGTTGGGAGATGTAGAATCAGTTTCATTTAATGATGTGACCCCAGATAGGCTGACCACACACCAAGGCAGGCCTCATTCACAAGACTTGAGCAACACAAACTGGACTGGATGGGGGAAAGAAAAAAAAGAAAAGGAAATCTCAAAGTTGGATGGAATGTAGAGAATGTGGTTATGGGTAGTTTAACGGGAAGTGTGAATATGTTGAGAGTACAGTGTATGAAATTCTCAAAGAATTAATAAAAATAAATTGCTAAAAATTTAATGTAGGGTTTGTGGTGCAGATGGCTGATAAAGAAGTTGTGTAGTATGTGTAAGGTCCTTTATCCAACCCCCAGCACCTAAGAAAACTAAAATTAATATATGGATAACATGAACTTCACAAAAAGATAGCTTCAGTGTCATTCTCATTTGTTCCTCTTTTAGGTTTATGAGCCAGAATTCTGCAAGTAGTTAAAGATCTAGAATTAACCAGGTTAAAATCACAAATCTGCTCTTCCCAATGCTTATTTGCTTCTCTTTGCTGATTGTACGTACATGATCCATGCAGCACTCACAGAAGACTCAGTCATGGCAGCAGTCCTCTGTCAGACTGAGAGGAGTATCCATCTGTCTCTGTAGGGAAACATTATGGTTTGTTAGTGAAGCTTTCAAGGTACTATTTTAAAAGTCTTTGATTAGGGATCAAAAAGAAACACGACAATAAGTGTTGGATCTAAGTTTGAGGGAAATAGAAAAAGAATCTTCTCACAACACTTTCTTTCTATACATGTGCTCTTATTGTTCTCTTTTTATCTTTTGTCTGATCTAATTCTTTTGTCCAGATTGGCTACAATTTCTTAGCTCTAATTCTAGGTCTCAATTCTAATTCTAATTCTAATTCTGTTTCATTCCTCCTCCTCGTCATTTTTCCTAAGTATTTATTTTTCCTACATTCTTATCCTTTTACATTTCTGCTAACTTCTACCAGATTCTTCCTCCAGCTACTACCTTTCTAGTCTCCTCTCTCCAAAAATCTCTCTCCCCACAGAGGCTTGAGGCAGGAGATAATAGTTACAGAGCTATCTCTTTCGTTGGTCAGAAGCACATTCCCAGGCTAAGCAATAAAGGCAGAATCACTGTCATGGCATCATAAGGGTCCAAGGTTACAGAAGTGAGATCGTGACCAGAGAGCAGGGGGTACAGAGGTAGGCTGGAGACATAGGTGTTTAGTTAACACTGGCAAACAAAGAATAGGCATGCCTTAAGGTTAATGTGAGTTTAGCTTGGGACAGCACTGTCCTATATTCTGGCAGAGAGAATCTAGGACACTCTTGTTCTCCAGCTCTCTGAGAGCTATGGCTCAACAACTTCAGGCATGCTATAATTCTTGTCTTTGGGCATCTGTGAGTGTCTCAGTTGAGGTCTCTTTGTCTGGGCACAAACACTGACCAAGTGTCTGCCAAGGAGGATAACTGCAGGGGGGCAGACTTCTAAGTTTATACAAAGACCTGGTAGAAAGAGTAAGGGTATTGAGTGTGATTACTTTCTTCCCAGAATCATGCATTGTTGGAGGGAGTCATCCAATATAACAATGCATAGGGGAAAATGTGACCAGTAAATGATTCACACACTGTAGTGCTGTGGGAGAAATCCCCAAACTGTAATATGAGGGAAATGGCTCTTCATATAAGAAATCTGCAATGGGGACAGCTAACAGATTAAAAGACAATATTCCTTATCGCCTTGCAGATAAGGTATCTCCATCAAATGTGCGATGCTGGTGGCAAATGCTCCTCATCATCTTGCTAAATGAGGTCTTATCCTTCAAGAGATATGCATCTTTGATGGATTGACCCCTGAAGTATTCACTGATCTCACTGCATAATTCTGCAGTCCATATCAGCTTGTGATAAATATATGGCTTCCCATGTATCACCATGCCTGGAACATGGATGCGCCCAATTTCATCCCAGTGATAAACCAACTCTGAACGTCTCAGAAAGATGTGTCTTCTCTTCTCAAGCCATTTTTTCCTATGGTTTCTGTGTGTACTTTCAGACGGATTCTTTTTTAATTAAAATTGTCCATATATTTTAAATATAACTTAATATATTTACTGACTTGATTCATTTTAAGGGGGTATAATGTACTCAACTTCCTGGGCTCATATTGTGTATGCACAAGGAAACCTTCCTTGTAAAAGCTAATATTCACTCAAAGAAGATAGGCAGCAAAGTAAAGATTAATGACCATTTTGCTAAATAATATGATTAAATCAGGCATTTAATTGGCTCAGAGAGGTCTCCTGGGACAGTTAAACTGATAAGTTTAGTACTTTTATTTTATTCATAAAATTACATACAAAAGTAAGAAAACCTTTGTGCATTTTTGAAGAAACCAGTTTTATGGAATCCTTTAAAAGATGCTGTGTGGAATACACTCAGCTACAAGTCTCCTCATGCTTATGTTGCTGTAATTGTCATGCAGCTCTAGGCCACCTGGTTCATCTCAGGAAATTCACAAAAATCCTTTTAATAACAATTCAATCCCTTGCTGGAGGACAATAAAGACTGGTATAAACTATAAAAACACATTCAGGAAAATACAGGAACACTACTGTTTTGTATTAAATTGCATTTTCATGGGTTGCATTCAGTTTGATCACTTGTAGGCATGGACTGGCTATGACATAGCACTACATTGTTTACTGCATCATACATTTTTTGTTGTCAAGAAAGAGGAGCAGGTTCATGTTATTCTAGTGCATGCTAAACATCAGACTGCTTCTTAATTAGTAACACAAGGCTTTTACCTGTCTCTGCCCCATCTATGATGCTTAAAATGAACTCACTAAATTATTTTAAACTTCCTTGTCCTCTCCAAGCTGAGATGCTCCTAGGCACTTAGGAACACAGATAAAAAGGTAATGTCTTTTCTTACAGTATATAAGAGGCATTAAATTAATGCAAATTTCACTTATGGCATGTAGTAGCTCTTAAATAACTCAAGTGAAATATTTGACTCTTCTTCCCAATCTCATTAAAATCCATGTCTTCTAGCAATGTTGAGAATTAACTATGAATGCACTTTAATAAATGATATTAGCAGGGTGTGGATAAAAGTAACTTTCCTTTATAGGTGGACATTTATTATAGTTTAAAATCTGAATACAATATACAAAAGCAGAAAAAGATGTCAATAACCAACAGAACCTTCACCTATGCTCCATACAATAAGTTCTGGTAAATTAACACATTAGTTTTTTCACTGAGTCTAACTGTCCTGGAAGTCATCACCAGTGCCCTAGCTGGAACAATGTCTCCAGGAAGGTATTTGGCTACCATGCTTGAAGCCTTCTGGGAAATATGAACAAAGGGGTGAATTGTGAAGGAAAGTGTGAATATACACATAGTGTAACCAGGATACCTAAGATGGTTTTGAATGAATCTGAAAGATGAGTACAGGTGTTCATGAAGGTTACAGTCACACCTCTACATATGGATTTTATCACCTTTTATGGAGACTTGTTTCACATAAGTATAAAATAATCTATTTTGCAAGATTTAGGTGGGGATAGAGTGCTGTAAAACATTCTGAAATGAGAAAAACTGACAGTGTATGCTTCTATCAGCAGTCTGTCTACACAGCTAAGCTCTGTGTGTCATGTGTTTGGACCGTCTCAATCATCCACTCATTTCCCAGTTCATTGCTTGGGGGAAATGGGCTCTCAACAAATGTTAAACTTATTAATGAGTCCATTGCAATTATGGTACCATAAAATCCCCAAAATATTTGTCTTCTTGAAGTAGGAAAGATTAGCACTTTCATACTGCTCCTCAATTAGTAGCACAAGGATTTTAATTGTCTCCATCCTATCAGTAATGTCTATAATGATATGTAGACAGCTAAATATAGTTTCAGTACACAATTAGATTGACTTATGGAAGATGCTGGAGTTGGAACCCCAAAGGATCTCTGCATAGCAGAAAAAGATGCTGTAGATCATTAAGTGGCTGACACATATCTAAGGCTAAGCTCCTATCACATAAGTAAGGCAACATTCACTTCACTTGCAAGTTTTAGGCTTGACAAAGCAGAATGGAAGAGATTAAATTAACAGCTTTTAAGTCACATTATAAAAAGTAGAAAATGAAAATGATCTGGATGTATTGACCAAAAGGTAAATAAAACCAGCAGTGCTGACTTAACTATGGATTTTTAACAAATACAAAACCAGGCCTAGATAAAAAAAAATACACAAGGCTGTGACATCTTTGGTTTAGAAGTAAACCTGAAAGTCATCCTTTCCACAGATGCCCCATATGTTTCACCTCCCACACCTGTACACATTCTTCAACCCAGGGCTTCGCGATAAAACCCATGTGCATTTCCTCAGCCTTATGTGTTTACACTATGTCCTTAGTTATTCCTGCCATATTTATGGGTAATTTATTTTCGACTCCTTAATCTCTTGTTTGTACTCTTTCTGGCTAAAATCCTTCATTTATTTTGATTCTACCTCATGCAACCAATTCTGGAAAAATGTAATTCAGTTCAGTCACTGTGTCTGTAATTAGATCCACTAGTTGACCTATCTCATTCAGAGTTTCACTTTTGGTGCCTAGAATAATGACTTGTACATGAAAG